CATTATTTAAATAATTGATTTTATTTATTTATTTAGAATTTATGATATTGAATGTATATATTTATTTAATAACATGTGAAAATTATATAAAAAAATTATATAAAAAATTTGTTTTTATATCACCTCTCAAAAATAAAAATATATAGAAAGGATAACAAGAGCTAGAAGGCTTCCCACATGGTCTTTTACGATGATATAGGAACAATTTTTTTATATAATATTTTTATATAATTTTTACATGTTATTAAATAAATAAAAATACTCAACAAGAACTACATATAAACAAAAATTTAATTATTATATATATAAGTTATTAAATATCCATCTAAAATTCATATTAAAAAAGTTAAAAAATTAAATTAAAACTAAAAATTTTGAATGGAAGAAGTACTTTTTACTCATTGTTTATTTTTTAACGTTTAATAATTGATTATTTTAAAAATACAAAAGTTGATATTGATTATTTTATCTAAGTACTAATAATAATTAGGTTTTTTCTACTATTAATGAAGTCTTATCTTAATGGTTAAGGTGAACACCAATATTAACTTCAAATCTTAATTTCCATTTTTTTTTTGTACCAATTAATCTGCACTATAAATCTGTAATGTGTTGATCCACCACTAAACATCATCAAATTAACCTTCTTGGAATAGTTTTGAAGGGCTTTCGAAAGTGAATTTATCACATGTAAATAATGCGCCCAATAATATGGTCCATGCAGCAAATAAAAAAAACAAAAAGAAGAAGGAAATGTCAAATATGCCTAACAATGGACAAGACTAACAAAAGCTGGTTACAAAAATTATTATTTGATGCAAGGTGAAAAACATTGCCATGATGAAAAAGAAAATCCCCTAAACTCTCTTTACACATTTCGCAGGAAGTTTATGCCTACTTTGATAATTTTGATGGTACTGACAACCAATAAGGAATCACTGGACAATAAATGGGAGTCAAAAACTGAGACTCTGTTTGATTTATAGTTGTTCATATAATAGTTGGTAGAATAATTGATATTAATTTAATATTTTTAAAATTATTAATCAATTATTTAAGAAAAAAATATTATATGTTGATAAAATTAACTAAATCAAATACATCTTAAATAATCTTATTGAATTGAACTATGATTTATGGATTATTTTATTCATAATTTTTAAGATTGGAACAATTTTTTCTGGTTGATTTGAGGAATAAGTGCTGTTTTAAATTGTTGTTCAACTCGTAGTTGGAAGTCGATGATTGATAGATAATAATTAATAATTGATAAAAATAATTTTTAAATTTTTTTTTCTTTTGTTATACTTGATAATGAGGTATAAAAAAATTAATTATTTAAAAAAATATTTTTTTTATCAAATTTAAAATTTAAACTCAAAATTTTTAATTTAAAATTTTGAACTTTTAACTACTTTTAACTGTAAAGTCTCAAACATCTTTATTTAGTTGATAAAAGTATCTTTCGAAACAACCTACTCAAGTGAGGTCACCTAACAATAAAAATTAACGACCCCTGAAAGTAGTTGAAAAAAAAAATGGCACCTTCTGGTGTGTCGGAAGGTTAAGGCCTCATGTTTGGTATTGGTACACCTTCCATGGATTAAGAATCCTGGGAAATCTTGCCTTGTACGTTTTGTTTGTTTTTATGGTTTTCGGTGAAAATCTTGCCTTTCAAGTTGCAATGCATGCACACATGAGCAGAATTTTAACAATCCAGGATTAAAATGGAAGGCACGTAAGCAATTCTTTCGAAGAAAAAAAAAAAAAATATATATATATATATATATATACACACACACATATACAGTATAGAAAAAGTTTCCACTTTCCAGGATTAATAGTTGATTAGAGTTGAATAGAATTACCTATATAACTTTGGAAACTTTATAACCAAATATAATATAAGTATATTATTTTATAATTTGAATTATATTAGAGTAAAATATAAACTCTTAAATAAGGGAAAATTTTCAATATCAATGTCTCATCTCTCATAAGATAATTTAAATTTTATAATTTAAATTATATTAAAATATAAAATACCTTTTCATACATCTGAATATATTCTCAAGGAAAGGACTTTTCACGAAAATATTTCTTACAATTATTGCTTACAACATGACATACTATGTCCACAGATCTGCCGTATCACTTGATTTTAGTTGAACCTTCAATTTTCATTTACTCTTGAGTTAGGATGAAATATGTAATATTATATATAATTATTTAATATTATAAAAATAATGATAAATTTTTGTTGTCAAAAAGATCAAAAATCGAATTAAAAAATAGTGAAATAACAGACACGCAAACCAAATTAGAAAATGATGACATGACAGAGGTAGACGACTTGTCATGTTTAAAGCAATGCATGTAAGAAATAATCGTCTTAAAAAAAATTCATTTACCATATTCCATTCAAATTTGTGCCTGGAATTTTTTACCTCTTTAACCACATCACATCCTTATCTGCTTGCAACCAAGCATTATTGACCTTTCGGGGGTAGAGGCCAACCAAACAGGACCCAGGTTGTGTTGAGATTTTTTGATTTCTTGTAATTTATTAGTGTAATTTTTATTTAATTGAGTATTGAATTGTAGAGAGTAGTTCACATTAAAAAAAAAAAAGAAAAAAAAGAAATAGAGAGAATAGCCTTCCTAGGACCAAGACTTGGCATCAGCAGCTATCCTCATTTCCAACCTCTATACCTAGAAACAGAAGAATGGAAGTTTCATGATCAAATGACAGATGAAGAGATTCAGTAGGCTGCTGCTCCATCCGCACCATCATCTTCATTGCCCTTTTCTGGGTCAGCAATGGCAGGCTTCTCTAAGTTCATGATGCGTCCTGTCATGGGATCAACTGGTCGCATGTCACGTGGTCCACCTTTGCGTCCTATTGCCACCATTGGTGGAGGGGGTAGTAATCCGGATCTGAAAAGTAGATGTTGAACGGGCTCTGAAGGTTGAGCACCTACTGATAACCAATACCTGCAGAAAGCAAGGAAAATAAATTTCAAAGAAATAAAACATTGTGTTGTTCCACTCTAAATTTAGAGAGAGAAAAAAAAAGAAAAAAAACGATGACAACAACAGCAATAACAAACTTGAGAGCTTGTGCAACTAAAAAGTGGTTGATAATTCTTCCCTATAATTATACAGTATGGGGCTAACCATTTAACACAATTGTCGTCAACTAACAGTATTAACCAACCAAAAGACATTATTAGATACCCAATTACAGTAATACAGAAGCATTACAGAAGCCCTGGAGAATGCTCATAGCCTGACAATTACATAATGAAAACTGTCCGGTTAAGGTGTCACAACCTCAGCTAGGAACTCTTCAGGCCTTGCTTCAAATATAATAATATTCAGAAGCCCAGGAGAATGCTCATATCGTGACAATTACACAAAGAAAACTGTCCAGTTAAGAAGTCAAAACCTAGGCAAGCAAATCTTCAGGCCTCAGTCCATATGGCCCTCTTAATCTTATAATTAAGATCAAGTTGTCAAGTAGTTGGTGTTTTGACCGATAGATACCATTTGCAATTCCAAGATCTTCCATCATAACTAGAAAAACATTCAATAGCTTCATAAATTTCAATGGATTAGTTCAACAAATTTTGCATGCATTATCAATTCAACAAATAAGAATTCTGCTCTGAACTTCAACTAATACCAGCTCCATTCCGTGAGTCAAGGTTGGAAATCTTTCAGGGAAAATAGAACATAATTTCCTTGTGCAAACAGTCAAACCCCAAGCAAAATGAAGTAGATATTAATTTGGGTAGACAAACTAATCTCAGCATTGGCATTTACCATAATCTCCAACTACTTCCAGACAGGCAGTTTTTACACAACCCATCCAACATAACCAATGTACCTGGATTTGTTCCTCTGTGTAACCTCTATTAATTCCTCCCTCCAGGAATCCATAGTTTGGTATAGAGAAATGTACTAGTCCTAGAACCAAGTCCTTATTTACCAATATCTGATGTAAAAGATTGTTTTATCTGCCCAAGATTCAGTTTTGACAGCAAAATTGCCTAGAGTTAAAGCTTTAGGATACAGCTTAAGAAAAATTAAAAAAAAAAAAAATTGCCTATTCATCACTGATTTGTGTAAGGCAAAAAGGAGAAAATAATAATAATAATAATAATAATGAGTTTTTCTACCAATAATTCAATATCAACAACATGTTTCCCAAAAATTTAAACCTAATAAGACCACCGACTAAAGGATTCTTACTCATCATCCATTCTTATTATGCTCCCTTCCTTCCAATTCCATTTTTACAAACAGGCAGGAAAGGAGATTGGAGTAACAGACCAGACTTCTCAGAGACAAAAAAAAAATTAAGTTAAAAAGTAACTAACAGCATGAGATAGCATTGCTAAGTCCAGAAAAAAGGTCTGCTAGGAAAGAGAATTAACTAGTTCTTGTAGCCAATTGAATAGAAATTTTCAAAGAAAAAAATCTAATTAGAATTTATGGTCATGGTAAAGAGAGTATGGAAGATAGAAAAAATAATGACTTACTTCACTCTTTCAAAATTGAGGCCCATTCTTTTACCCCCATCTTGACCTATAGAGAAAAACAATGGAAAATCATAAGTCACTCGTGAGTCAATAAGCTAAAACTGGCAGATCATAGGAATGCAAGAAGATAAATTTACCTTTTCCAAAATGTAAGCTTAAGTGAGGGAAATGCTTCAAAATGACTTACAAGGCCCTCTCCTCTCCCCTCCCCTCCTCATACATACAAAAGGAAACATAATTCCTGTTTTTATTCAATTTGGATTCAAAATCAAAGGGTGTTCTATTTGTGCATGTGGCAAGATTAATAGAAATTTTAAGCAGCATAGCAGAGATAGGAAAGTTCAGGGAGGTTGGAAAACTATGTTTTTCTGTTGTGGCTTGAACCCTATGCTTAGCAAGAAAAGAGCTATTTTTATAGGAAAATCTTTGTGAAGGAAGAGGCATTTTGGAAGTTCTAGGAGCTTTCACTATTTTAGATATGAAAAGACCTTATGGGTGCAACTTCTTTCAAGGTCGGATGTTTTAACACAATTCAATCACTGTCCTTAATGTGGGCAGGGTTGGGTGAGTTTATTTTGCCGAGCTAATATGGGGGGTCATAAGGGTGATTAAGGATGCTAATTTCTTGTTGCTGAAATTAGACAGCAGTTTTTTGGAGGCAGTCTCTGCTTGTAAACTGCTGGCTCTTGTACATTTTTTATCTGTTATATATATTATTCACTCTGCAATAAAAAAATTACAACTCAAAATGCTAATATCAAATCTTTCCAACTTTTTAGCAACTACTGCTTACTCCCACTACTCTGTTCCCAATGAAACTAAACAAAAGGAAAAGAGAAACGACAAGAGTATTGCTCTAACCATTTTGTTACATCCACAGGCCATGCATGTATGTAGTAACACATTAAATCTTGCTAGTACCTGGAACAACAGCTCTGGCACTGAACTATCTCACAAAAAGTGCTATTTTGAATTTGAACCTTTAGTTTATTTCATTTAGTCATCCAAATTTCAAGGTGTAACAGATGACTAAAAATTTCAGCTTTTGTTGAAAGAGAAAAGACAGATTAGAATTTCATATGTATTCCTAATACCAAACTTCCTCAACTACCCAAAAATAAAAAACAAATTTAACGAACAAAAGAAAGTCTCAAAGATGAGGAAAGAGATTGGGCCAAAAAATAATAGGTTGAGGACAGAGAAATGAAATCCAAAAATCAGACTCCTTCAGAAGCAAAAGATCTTAAAAGACACTGAACTCCAAATTTCAGTCTGCATGCAACAGATTCATGGTAAAATTAATTAATTTTTTCACATGCCTTCTACATTTGTGAACATATGTCTTCAACTGTTAAGAGAGAGGGAGAAGAAAATGAGAACAGACCTGGCAAGGGATTGTAGTAACCTAGGACTTCAAGATGTTTGCCATCTCTGGGTGATCTGATATCAGCAGCCATGACCAGATAAAATGGCTTGTTTTTGCACCCAAATCTCAACAATTGAATTCTAACCACCATTTTCTTAATGCACCTTTGCTTGTAACAAAAATATAAAAAATAAAAATAAAAATAAAAATAAACTCACTCAATAGAACTGAATGGAGATATCTTTTCATCCTGCAATTAACCAACTCACAACTGTACTAAATTCTAAAATACTAGTAAGTAGTAATTGGGCTCAGACAGGGTGCCACACCGGAAAGCTAATGCCAAAAAATGAAAAGAGAAACCCAATTTAACAAGCCACACTGGAAAGCTAATGCCAAAAAATGAAAAGAGAAGCCCAACGGAACAAATTACATTCTGAGACATACACGTAAACACAAACTACCAATAAATAAAACAGTTCAGCACATGATGGCCAAAACAAAAAACAGTTCAGCAGAGTAATTTGATTAAGAAACATCCTACATAACAATCACCCTACTAATATAAATCATTGATCTCAGCTAGGCTCAATTCTAATTTCCATTTAACAATCTTTATCTTCCTTGTTGACAACAATTTTTTCATACATATTATACAATTGAATTGATTGTATCTGAAAAAAGAATTCCACTAGCAGTACATACGATATATTGCATTCATGCAAACTGGCCACATAGTTAACATAAAGAAAATATGTTACCCGAACCCATCAATTCACAATAACAGTACCATATATAAATAGGAATCCTCATCTATGATTAACTCTTGATTTTGATATTAATCCAAACTACATTAAGACCTGAAAACTCTGCAATCCAATAGCTTCTCATTCAAGATAAGCGTCAAACTACTCAGTACTGTTTATCCCAAAAGAATTACCCATTTAAAATTTTCATTATACAAAATGCCAAAGTAAAGAAATTTACAGTCTTTGGCCAAAGAAATGAAATTTATAAAAAGTCCTTAGCATCTCAAACAGCTGTGAATTAAGCACTAAGAAACTATGCACCAGAATCATCTAGTTTCAAAAAAGCCCACAAAATTCATCTTGACAAGAATCACATACTTCGAAACTCTCCTAGAG